AATAAAAATAAAAAATCAATATTAAAAATTTAAAAAAAACCCACACTAACAGAGAAAAAAAGGTAAAAAAACCAAGGAGGCCGATAGAGGCCACACCAGGCCGCTAAGGGGCCAGCCAACCCCATTTCTGATATCCTCCCTCCCCGCCCCAGCCCTGATGGCAGAGCCAGGGCTTCAAATCCTTCCGAAAGGCCTGGAGTGAGGGGCCTGTCTCACCCCCGGGGGCAAGATGCTCCAAAGGGCGGGGGCTACAGCAGAGAAGGCCTGCCTTCTGGACCCCGCTAATCGAAGTTCTTTTACTGTGGGGGTCCGGAGCATGCCCTCTCTGTGAGATCGGGTGGGACGGGTTGAAATCATGGGGGCAAGGCGGTCCTTCAGGTAACCTGGCCCCATGCCATGTAGGGCTTTAAAGGTGATAACCAACACCTTGAATTGGACCTGGAAGCAAACCGGTACCCAATGCAGCTCACAGAGCAAAGGTGTTATATGGGTCCTTCTTCAGGCCCCCAAAATTGCTCGCGCGGCCACATTCTGGACCAGCTGAAGCTTCCGGATATTCTTCAGGGGTAGCCCCATGTAGAGCACATTGTAGTAGTCTATCTGGGAGATAACAAGGGCATGAGTGACCGTTCGCAGGGCATCCCGATCCAGAAAAGGGCGTAACTGGTGCACAACCCGAAGCTGTGCAAAAGCCCTTCTGGCCATGGCTGCCACCTGCTCTTTGAGCAGGAGCTGTGAGTCCAGGAGGATTGGACACAAATTACACACTGGGTCTGTCTGGGGCAGTGCTACCCCATCCAGCTCCAACGATGACAACGTCCTGGATACAGAGGCGCCATTAACCCACAGCCACTCCATCTTGCCAGGGTTCAGCTGGAAGTTGAAAATCAGTTGAATATATAATTAGACACTGCCATATTCTTTGAAAAATAGAAGTGATAATAAAAAATTGAGCTGTTTGGGAGTGAATAATTGGACAACACATGGGCATAGCAACTAAAATATAGCTATATGGTGTACACATTTTTTTAGTAAGTTTAAACATATTGATTCACAAACTGGGAACTTAAAGTTCATCACCTGCTTGAGGAAGATTGTATGCTAATGGCATCAGGCTAGTACTCCTATTGAAGTAAGTTGTCTCTATCTGACTCCTATCATTCAAAGTCATTTGTAAATAGGTTTTCCTAAAATTAACTAAATTTAGAATCACATACAATTAAAAAGGTCAATGATTAGAAGCTAATACCTGAGCTATCTCCTTTTTTACCTTCTGTGCAAAGTTTTTTCAAGATTTCCTGGGAAAGGGAGATGGACTATCTAGTATAAAGCTGATATTCTAGTGATACATTAAAATTTATATACTAAAGATATTTGAATCAGTAACTTTGTGACACAAAATGATGGAAGGCTTTCCATTGGGCATATTCATTAGGCCAGCTATTTTGTTCGTAATATTCAGTTCACCAGTATGTGTAAAGAATAAAACAAAACCCAAACCATGTTACTGTGAATACATTTAATGAAGCGGGGCTTTGTCAATCTCAGATATTGGCATAAATATTTTTTCAGTTGACAGATGGAATGTGATAGAAGTGTGCACAGTGGTTCATTTGGCCAATTTTGAGCTTTAAATTTTATGAAACTCCCCATTTCAAGTGCAAAAATGCTGCCTTGTGTTTGTTGGAAGTGTTTTAAATTTGAAACACTTCCTGTATGCTGAGAGTGGTCTGTTTCACAATTCAGTAGAGTTTCATGAAGCCTTGTGCATCAAATGGTTCAAAATGAAATGTTTTGCATACCTCTAGTATGTTGAAATGTTGGGGCTTCACATATTCTCAGCCACTTTGCATGGCCTGTGGTCCTTTACAATTACATAGAGAACTAGAATATACTTCTACAATCGTTGAAATAGAATTAATTATTTTTGTGCCTTTATATGGAATAATACCTGATAAAAGTATATTTTCTGATTGTACTGGTCTAAAGAACCCCAGAACAATGCAGTCTTGCTTTAAGCCATTTAAACCATGTGTTAGAGGCAACACATTTTTAAATCTCAGTGTTTTATAGTTAAACATCTTTGGATTATCTGTTTTGGACAGTCATTTCCATGAAAGCATTGGTTGAAATCTCAGAATTTTATAGTTAAAACATCTTTGGATTTATAGTGAAAACATCCTTTTGGATAGTCATTTCCTTATAATGTATCCATGAAAGTATTGGTTGATTGATTATACATTTTAAATGTGTTTTAATAGGTTGTATTTTAATTAAACATATGATTATAGTCTACTTTCTAATTCTGAAATTGATGTAGGCCAGGTTTTATAATTACTGCTTCATTCCAATATGTTTTTTATTGGAAGAGTGGTAACATGTTTTTCTTGTATAAAAGAACATGTTAACAACAGATAAGATAATCTAATTATTAATTAGTCTATAGGACGTCACCAGATAATTTAGTACAGAGAAAATTAGCCAGTATTTTGCCTGTATTGTGTTTTCTCACAACCAGTGGATGTCAAAAAGCTAAAACAATTCCTTTTCTGTCCCCTCTTTGTTTTGTTTGCTTAAAAAACAAACAGACTTTAGGGTTGTTTTCTTCCTTTGGGTAATCAGGCTTGTTTACTTTCTGTTTAACCACATTCAGTGAGAAACCTTCATAGAGTAATGGGTTTGTTAAGCTCTCTGTATCTTTGGGATTTGAGTTTAGAGTATTTTAAGTTACTCATATTTGTCTCAAAACTGTCCCTCTAGGGAGAAAAGATTGGCTTCACCTATGCCCTGGGATTAATACTGGAAACAACAATTAGGGACTGAAAGATAGCTGTGTGGGTAGCCATGTAATGCCTCCAGAGTTTGACAAATTACTTTTTTTCTGCACTTAAGAAAGCTCTGTTTCATTTTGTTTAATATGAATCTGTTGACAAAATTCAAAATAAAATGCTACTAGAAGAAAATTCTGGAAGCATTTATTATCGATGCTTTTGTGCTTGATGTAGAACTGATAGGCACAAATGAACAGATTATAGTTTGTAACTCTTCATGTTCTCATACAATGACCTAAATGTGTTTATTTGATTTCTATAGTCACCCATCTCAACAGGTGACTCTAGTGACTCATTAATGTGCAACTTGAATTCAGTTACAGAAAGCTGTTATAGTTGTATCCCTGTGGGAGAGTGCAGTGTCAATAATTGTCATGTATTTTTTATCTGTAGCTCCCTTTAAACAGAAGAAGCGGCTGCTTTTTTTTTCCATGGGTGTAAAAGATTATCATTGTAAATTTGCAGATTTTGTGACATTAGGACAGAGAAGAAGGATTAGCACAGAGTTATATAACTTGTATGGTACATGGTCATGCCATTACTATTTGTTATCTTCTGTTCTTTTGTAAACTATTTGGAAGGCCAATAGAAAATAGTCATAGGCTGAGTTTTCCTTTTGTAGTGTTGCCTGTGTTCTCACAGGAGCTGTTCCTTTCTTACATTTCCTTCGAAAAGGAAGAAAGGGCAAACAGCCTTATTTTGGCCTTGTTTTCTTTAGATACAATTTTTATCTTACTATTTTGAAAGTTTCTGGTAATAAACCTTGCAATTGCTTGCCTTTTTAACACTAGCCAATGATGTAACTGGATTAAGAGAATCTGAAGAAAAACTGAAGCAGCAACAGCAAGAATCTGCTCGAAGGGAAAATATCTTGGTGATGCGACTAGCAACTAAAGAACAAGAGATGCAAGAGTGTACTGTAAGTGAAGTTAATCAAGTCATAGGAGACTGTCTCTCTTGAAATCTATTGGTTTGGCTTCGAATGCTCTAAACAGAATGCTATTCATCTCTTGTGCTAATTATTTCAGCTATTTAGTGTGGCCTTGGATTTTTATATTTTTATCAAAAGACTCTATCCTTAATAGATTGCACACTTGAAAAATTAATATAGTGATGTAAAATATGTTGACATGTTTCTAATTTTTCAAGTGGTTATGAGCTACCATAGTTCAATAACAAACCTTAAGCAAATATGGATGACACAATAATCATTGCAAAACATGTTCAATACAGATTTCCACTAGATTTACCACTAACATTAGAGAGTACAAATAACTAACACTAATTTATATTACACAATTCTGCTGTAATGCTCATATAAATCTAAAATTAAAGCTTGCTTTTTTTTTTTTTTTTTTTTTTTGAGATGGGGGTATGATTGTCTGCAGTCCTGAATCTCTGTTTTGAAGTCCATGAAGTCACCCCTGACTACACTACTGAAATTTGATAGCAAATTTGGGTGTGTTTTTTCTGCTGTCTTAGGGGCTACAGGTAGTCCTTGTTTAGCAACCACAGTTGGGACCGGCAGCTCTGTCATTAAGTAAATCAATTGCTAAATGGGAAATCACACGACTGTGTCTGTGCTTTCCTTTTCCCCACTCCCCTGCTCTTTGGAATGCTCACTCTGGTGGCGCTGGGATAGCAGTCTCAAAACTGGCAAGACCAGTCAGTTTCACACCTTCCACTTCTGTTTGCCTCCTAACCACTCCCCCCACAACATGTACTGGCTATAATGGCAATCATGTCACCGAGGGACACTCCGAAGGTCGTAAATATGGGTATTGGTCATAACGTTATTTTTCAGCACCTTTGTAATTTTGAATGGATGCTGTTTGCAGCCTTAGTAAATTCAAATTATACAGCGTTTGGTATATCCACTCCCAATCTAAAAATGTACCTAGCCCTGGACTTTTGATAGATAAATGCAGCCCTTGCTGCCAAGATTGCCTACCAGTAGTAGGAAAAAAAGAGAGAATCCCTTTGTACTTAGCTAATAGTACTGATGTTCCAAATAAGTAATGGGCATCTAGAGATAATGTAGAAAGATTCAGTAGTCATTCATTTCAGCACTTAGTGATACGGGGTAAAAATTTCTTTTAAGTGAAAAACTTCATATAATTGGTTTTATTTAATTAGTGATCACTGGGATGTAACTGTAATAATTAAGAAATGAGAATTCCTATCCAGTTAGTGGAAGATGTTGACAGAAAAGACTGGAATATCACTTGGTTTTCCATGATACTGGCTAGCATGAAGATTTGTTGCCAATGATCTTTTGTAGATCTTACTGTAGAAATATTATTTCAAATACTGTCTGGTTTGCCTTCTCATCAAAGCTGTATTTTAATTCTGTTGCCAGTCCACTAATCCTTGCATGATCCATCATAATATGTACACAAGTGTATGCACAACTCTCTACAGCATTTCATATATTTGTTGTGCATCCTTTCACATTTTCACAGTAGAGGCTTATAAAGCAGTTAAGTATGCTATATACATGTTTAAAGCATTCACATTTTTGTTGTAACTCTGTATCTACTAGATGAATACAGCTCACTTCTGTTTATAGAATTATCTGAGATCCCACGTGTTTAAGCCAATATTCTTGTTGGTTGGAATAAGATTGGTTAGAATAAAATCCTAATTGTTTGATGCATCTGGCAGGTTGTGGTCTGTATGTGTCTCTTGTACCCTAATTGCTACTCTCTAGCATCTTAAGACCATAAAACTGAAATTCAGCAGCAAAATGGCCAACTTGTATTGTGTGTGGGGGGGCATTATTTCCTCAAAAATAATGGTGGAAAATGGAATGTGACACCTCCAAGAGGTGTGCACACACACCCCTTCCAATTTATTTTACTATTGAATTTTAGCAGCACACTTGTTCTGGTGAGATTCGGGAACTTTTAAAGGAAGAAACGGAACAGTTCCTGTTCCCATTCTCATGATAAACCCCTCTCCCCAAGCTCAGGAAAACAAGCTGAAAAAGTTACTCTGGCCCTTTTTGATGTCACCAATCGTCCAGTGATACCACCTGTAACCTTCTAGCAAATTGGGATAGTTCCAAAGCTGGGAAAATGGAAGAATTATTAACACTACTGGAATTTCTTGCAGTCATCTCTTAACTATTCTCTTGAGTTTCTAATTCTCAGCAGCCCTAAGGTTGAGAATTTGTGATTCTTGAGGACAGACTTTATTGCATTAGTACTTTTCAATTGATTCTAAACATTGCATTTTTGCTATTATAGCTCACTGAACAATTAATATTATATACTAGAATAAGTGTAACTGGAACTCACCATTACAGTAATATTCATTCTGCCTCACTAAAATCAAAGCTCACATTCCTTCTCTCAAGATATATAAGAATTAGCTTTTAGAATTCTAAAAGGTGTAAGTACCAAAGACACAGATTTATTGACCAATCAAGTATTTCCTTGTAATCCTTAATGAGTAGAAATAGGTTTTTCAGATTATGAGAATTTGCCACCACTAAAAAGTAAACTTCATAAAAGGCTATAAATTGCTCAGTTTAAAAATAGTTTAAATGGCATTAATATTTATTTATAACTGTGACTTTATAAAATTACAAAAAGTTATCTTAATACAACAAATACTTTCTATCAGTGGCAGGGAAAACCAAGATGGTGGAAGCATTGTCTCAATGCAAACTCTGCCCCCTTGTGCATGTGTTAACAGTGCATGCAAATGCAGAAAGAGGGGAGTTTTACTGCAGTGCCACTTCTAAAATTTGTGACTAGTGCCTGGATGGTTGTTTGAATTGTTACAATGTTTGTAGTCCCCTTTATAAATTCTGTCATAATTTGAGAGTTCAATTTTATATTCTGTTAATATCAATATAAAAGCAAGGGTTATTTTTCAGATTGTGTGGGCCCATGGAACTATATATTGACTTAATAATATTTCTTTTCTTCATGCAGAATCAGATACAGTACCTCAAGCAAGTCCAGCAACCGAGTGTTGCTCAACTGAGATCAACAATGGTGGACCCAGCCATCAACTTGTTTTTCCTAAAAATGAAAGGTGAACTGGAACAGACTAAAGACAAACTGGAACAAGCCCAAAATGAACTGAGTGCCTGGAAATTTACACCTGATAGGTAAACAAAACATACTCCCCAGTCAAGACTTCCCTGACAGAGAATGCTTTGGTGGGACAACCACGTACTCGTTTCCACACCAAGACTCAGACGTTTTGAGCCAAAAGCTACATTTTATTCTGTCCAGCTTGTATTGCTTAATGTAAAACTTATCAGATGAACCTTGTGTTTCAGCTTTTCCCCCCCTTTGCTTCAGAGGCCTGACAGCGTCGGACTGTTCTGAAGAAGTGGCCACCACAGAAAATGTGTACTTTCTAGAACATGTAGACACTTGCAAAGTGGTTCTGTTTGAAGAAAATGAGGGAGAAGCAGAAGTCTAAAGTCTGTGGCACACTATGTCTACAGACAAATTGGAGGAGAACCTAGAGATTTTAAATCATGAATTGATCATATCAAATTCCAGTAAAACATATAAGTGGAATGTGCTTCGCTCTTAATCCTAAACCTAGTGATGTAGAGACTGATTAAGTCAGTTTTGCCATTAAGACTGTGGACTTCCTCCTTGTTCACTGAACTGCTGGGTCAAAACTCAAATGAGGTGAATTTTGTTTAAATCACATTTTTGCTAATCAGCTGTGAGAACATGCACACACTCAGTGTTCGTTTGCTTAGTATTTGGGCTTTATAGGAATTCAGTGAAACTTGTCATGGTTTTGAATAACAAATTACTCTGTGGATGGCTGGTAAAATGTAAATTCCTAAATCTAGTGCTGTACAAACATAGATGCAATTTAATTATCAATTTTTATATTGTTGAACAGTTGTATACATGTGAATCTCAACTAGAATATATAATCAAAAACTAGTTGTGATTCCTATCCTATCCTTGACAGTATAGAATTGCCATATATAATATCCTGAGAAAATATATGCAAACTATACAAGGCATACCAGAGTATAGCTACCATGGTGCATTTGCATTCCATTGTATATCTAGTTTCATATATATATTTTAAACTGCACTCTTCTTTAAAATGTGCATTAAAATAGTTGTGCTGAGTAATTGAGAAACACAGCTGGCTGTACCACTGTATGAAGTTCCAGTGAAATATGAACATAAAAGAATGGAGAACAGGCTGCTACCATGTCTTATCCTGTTCCCTGGAAGAGAGATAATGTCAAAGTTTATTGCATGCATCCCATCGGTTCACATCAGTTCAGAATCATTGGTACTGGCTGGCACCATGTCACATCCAAAGTGATTTCTAGGGATAGCAGTATGGGGCATTTCAGTGTTCTTGAGATCACAGTGGAAAGACTTCTAAAATTACTTGCATTGTCATAATATTTGTATAATCTTCTCTAGTAGGTTCACTGAGAAAACTTAGGACTATTGCATAGGATATCTCAACTGGAAACATATAATTAATATAATAGGTCCAGCATTCCACATTCAGTAATTAATTTGAGTTAAAACAATCTTTCTATGAAATACATATATCTCTGATATAATTATTTCAAACATAAAAATGTGATAGTATACAAATCATGGGTATTAAAAGAAAGAAAAACATTCACACTAATTCAAGCTTTTGAAGATCATCTTGGTGGGATGGTATGGAAGATCTTTGAAAGGTCTAGCAACAGAACTGAGGTAAGATTTCTGCAGGGGAAAGTATCTTAAAATGTTACATTTGTCTTTGTAAAACTTGTTGAATGTATAATCAGAAAATCATTCTTCATAGGTATGTTTTAATTGTGTCATACAGATTGCTTGTGAACTCCCAACTTGATCAGGTGATATTTAGAAGGAAAAATGGTGAATGTGTTTAGTTTCTAAATATGCAATTTCTTTTAGGGTGCATTTATTTATTTATATATTTGCACCTAAAATAGACAACTGCCATTTAAAAATGGCTTCAGAAAGTGATAATTTGTAGTCTTAATTGAATCTTTGATATGCACATATTTCCTCACTGATTAATCAGAAGATAAGTGTGAAATTGGTACTCTTAATTTTAAGTAGTTGTACCTACTTTCCTTTATTATTGCTTCTATGAAATTGTAAGACAGCCTGCCTTAAGCTGGTGCCGTCCAGATGTTTTGAACTGCAACACTCAATAGCCCTAGTACCATGTATGATGAGAGTTAGTATCTTTTTTTAAAAAAAAAAACCCGGAGGGTCTCAGATTGAATAAGTTTGGTTCAAGAGATGAGTGTTAATTTATTATTTTTAAAATATTTTCCTTAAGTTATTTGTCTTCTGTGTTTTTTGCCATAATTTATTTTTGATCTTATGCTTCAAAATGGTAGTGTATTTTCTACACTGTGAAAGTGATTCTGAATACTAAGGAAAGAATATTCTTGTATCTGCGTATATTGTTTTGTGGATCCTATGTCTTTGCAAGTCTGTGCTCAAAATCTTATCTTTTTTCAACAGTGTTTTAAGAATTGTATTGCATTGCCCTTGTTTACAGGCTTTTGGACTGCAACAGGAGGAAATCACAGATACTTTTCATAGTATGAACATGAATAGAGATAGGATAAAGTATTGGCATTCCATTAGATAACAGCAATTTTTTTGAAATTATACATTTATTTGTTTAACTTTTGAAATTTTAAGATAGTCTTCCTTAACCTGATGTCCTCCAGATGTTTTAGACAACTTGAAGCTGTATTACCTACAATTAATTAACTAGTGCTTGTTTTTTGCTTATTTTAGTCATTTATAAATTAGCTTATGTAGGTTAATACATATAAAATCTAGTTCAAATTACAAGAATTAGAATGTTTGCCATAAGTTATAAACAACTTCAAAATGTTACTCAGATTCTAAAAATTCAGCATTTATGTATTTTGTTAGTGGTAAACCTGTTCTATAGTAGCCAAATTCTTATAGGCATGGATCAAGATCCAAAAAATCATCCGCTTAATTCCAGGAATTTAGGGTTTGGGGTATGTTTTTTTTCCCTTGAACAGAAGTCTGTTAACCTTCATAAAATGCTGCTTTTTGAAGATGAGAACAGTGTTTGATATTCAATGAAGATTCCTATTTTAAAAAAAAACAGGCATGTTCAAATTCTTGGCATGTCTAAAACAGCTTTTTGGCTCCCAGCCAAAGATATTTTGGGTTAATTTACTTCATCTGAGTTGTTTATGTATGAGTAACAAGAAAAATTAAAAACTAGGTATATGCTATAATATGTAATATATTTTTGGGAGCCAGGATTCACACTGGGTTCCACGCATGCACAATATATATACTTGTTGGGCATTATGCTATATTTATAGTTTTTCTGTATAGAAATAATTTATGTAGGAAACTACTCTGTATGATGTCTTTGTGTCAGTCTACTAGAAAGCACTGTTGAAAGTGTCAATTTTTTTCCAAGCAAACAAAAAAGCTGGCTGATTAATAGTTATGCATTGACTTACATTTTTGAAGCAGGTGCTTACTAGATTTGTAAAAAAAAATCCATTGCAAGAATGCTGAAATTAACATACTTAGATTATAGTGATCAGAACTTCAAAGATATTTGCTAAACCCAGAAAATAGGCATGTGTTTTTCCATGGAGAATGACATTGCAAATGATAACTTCCTAACATAGAAAAGAACCTAAATGGGATACATATAGCCAGGTTTTGTGTTTTCTTTTGGGATGTTAGTTCTGGTGGTCTGTTAAGCCATGTTTGTCCTTTAAAATGATATATGTAAGTTACCTATAGTTTAATGTGCTTATTATGATGAAAAGGTGCTTTCTTGCATTATTAAGCCTTTCAGGATAGGTATTTTGCCTTCTCTTGATGCTATTGGCTGGATCATAACTTTTTTTGCAAAAGGATTTATATTGAATCATACCATTGGTTTACCCAGCTCAATATTCTCTTAAGTGACAGTTGTTCAGTATTGTAAATGAAACTTTATCCCATATCTTAAAATTTTTAAAACTAGAGTTTAAATCTGAAATAATCTTGCCGATGTATGTTGTTTTACCATTAAGCTGTGATTCCTTTATTACATACATTTTTTTAAAAAAAAACTATATACATAAACTATAAAATAGTTTTGTCAAAAAATAGTTCTGACTACCAGAGTTCAAGAAGGATATTGACAAATATATCCAAAGAGTGATGAAGTTGATGAGGGACAGATATCAGAGTTCTATGAAGAAAATGCTTAAAAGATGATATGATAGTCATCTTCCCATATTTGAAGGGCTTTCATATAGGGTCACATTTTCAGGTACTCTAGAGGTGTAGGCCTGAACCAGCAAGTTCAAATTATAAACCAAGAAAGGTTTCAACTAAACATTAGAAATAGCTTCCTGATTATATAAAATGTTAAGCCCTGAAAGGTACATTCCTCTTAATTAGATGTTTTAGGCAGAAGCTACAGATTTGTAGGAATGGATTTCCTGACAAAAAAGAGCAAGCAATGAATTATGAAAGTAACTAAATTGGTTTAGGAACAGTAGTTACTTGTATACTAACATTGGCATAGACTACTTCTGCATTTAGAAAATTTATTGCAACTTTCATACTGGTCTTATACTAGTCTACCACAGTGTGATTGGCTATTCCTAGAAAGCTGACATCCTCTCAAGCCATATAGGTATGTGGTGCTGCTTTTGCTACCATAGACAGCTGACTGGAAGTAGTGGGTTTATCAGTGTATATAAAAAGGAGGTGCCTTACTTTGCCAGAAATAGACTGTATGTAGATTGCTTGACACTGAAGCAGCATACCTGGCATGAGACCAATAAGGCAGTCATGCGATATATTCAATGAATTTCACTTATTTATGTATGTTAAACAGGTGGTTTCTTTTCAAAATTTTGGTTTTATTTCCCTCCTGGTTCAATGCAATCATTGCTAATACTCAAACTTTGTTTTTGGTGATTCCAAATCTGTTTAACTTTGAAGACAGGGAGTTAGGCATATAGGCATGACTAGGCTTTTCACTATGTAAATCAATTGTATTTTTCTGTTCATAGAAGCCAAAAATTGGATGTTGCTGTTTTCATCATTTCTCCCCACCCTTTTGAATCCAGTTTCTTCTGAAAATTACCCAGTCAGAACTTAAAAGCAGTAGATACCTTTTGATCATGATTATATTTTGATTATTAAACTGTAGAAACTTGCCTTTCAGTTTGACCACATGGGGCCAGAAGAGCAATAAACAATGTTCAGTGGCAACTGGCAGCAAGATATTTTAGAAAGATGTGTTACAGAAATAGTGCTTCCAGTGACAGCTTTTATCAAGGGAGATGAAAGAAATTTGTTTTCATTTTATGATAGATGGCTCTTTCCTTTACAGCCAAACAGGCAAAAAGTTAATGGCGAAGTGTCGAATGCTTATCCAGGAGAATCAAGAGCTTGGAAGGCAACTGTCCCAAGGACGTATTGCACAACTTGAGGCAGAGTTGGCTTTACAGAAGAAATATAGTGAGGAGCTTAAAAGCAGTCAGGATGGTAAGGGATTTTTAAAAAGAAAATAGAGAATTGTTTTGTGTTTGTGTAGGCTTCAAAAGTCAAACATATTGTGGGTATTATACATTTCCACTATGGAACACATTTAAATGTTCTGAAAGGGATTTCAAGCTCATACAACAGTTGTAGTTACCAGCACAACTAAATAATTGTAATGGTGAGAATTGAACATATGTATTGTTCAGATTATAGCTAATGATAGTGTGTCTAATTTTAACTTGCATGACTAACTCTGTGCCCATTTGCAGAAGCCCTCTTTTCTATTGAACAAAACTATAATATAAACTAAGCATATAATGTAAAAGCATGTTGTAGCTGTTGTATAGTGTTTTGATTATTTTCTTTGAAAAGCAGAAGTCCTAGTGGTGGTAGATGAGTTCCTAGATTTTAAAGTACCTTCTTCTAGTTTCTTTTATTAGTGTATCTAAAGTTTTTTCATTGTCTCAGAGTTGCAGAAACAGCACTTAAATTTAAAATGAATATTGCACTTCCCTTACGTTGCTTCCAAGTAAATGTGTGCTTGAGTTAAATGCTGTTTTGTGTAATACTATCTTCATTACATCCTTTTATTTCACAGCCATTGGAAACTTGCTTTTAAATGATCACTAAGTAGTGAGGAGGCTATTCTATCTAGCAAACTACTTTGATTTAATTCTAAATTAAAATTATTTTGAATTCATCTTTGACAATTACATAAATGATGTACCTAAGGTACTAGTAAAGAAATGAAATTGCACTAGAAATGAGGGTCTTCTTCCCTATATGAGAGTATAAAAGAAAGATAACCCAGTTCTGTTTTAATGATCATATCTCCAAGATATAATTCCCATATACGGTTACCATAGATTTTATGTCTAGTGCCAGTCTCCACTCCGCTAACTTATCTTGGGGTCTTCAGAAGCCTTATATCAACTGAGTTGAATTTGGTTAGTTTCTTATTACATTGTAATAGTCTACAGACTAAAAATCTGCCTACTTTTGCTATTTCTATGTTAGCATATGCTTGAAGATTTCTGTGCTACAATTATTATGATTTGGGTCTGATGTTGGTCTGGTAAATGCCACAGAGAACTTATACATCCTTTAATTAACATTTAAATTAAATATTGTATGTCATTATTACAGTAAAGAGCAACTGTAGCTTGATTCTGTCCAGATGAATTAGATGTGCTACCTAGGAATCCTGGGAATTCCAGACCTACATACATGGAGGGAGCTGTGTTGGAGATGGTTGATAGATAGCATAAAATTTATAAAACAGCAAAAATGTGGACATACGTGTCTTGCAGAAAGGTAGAAAATATCTTGCGACTGATTCCAAGTTATTTTATTTGTACAGAGTAAGCAAATCCTGTTTTGAACATTCTCAGTGCATGCATTATTTTGAATTCAGTACTAGGTTTTATTTTAGGATATGTAGATCAGTTTTGGACAGAAACAATCAATTGCTTAAGACAAAGTAGTCAGAAGTAGTAAGATGTATGTAGCCATTTAGATAAGCAGATCCACCACTGGGACTTTTGCAGACCTTGTTGACCTTTTTTAGTCCATATATAAGTGTATTTTTCATGTATTTCCCCTATGCTGAATTTAGGCCTAGTTGCAAAAATCTGTGTATAAGATCAGCCAAAGCTTTAAGTAAACAAACAAACAAAAAAGAATTATGATGGAAATTAAAATAGGGATTAAAATTTACATTCTAAAAATCACATTCTGTTGAACTCTGTTCATAGGTGCATGCATGCACAGAAAATAGATTCTAAATTTACATAAAAGTTTTTTTTTTTAAAAGAGGGCTATAATGGAGAGTGTATAAGACCAAATAAGATACTAATAAATGAAACTGAGCATGTTGTTTAGTTCTGCTCAGTTTGAAGAGACAGGTACTACTTATTAAGTATATGCTCCAAATTGTTTTTCTTCATATAGAACTGAATGATTTCATCATCCAACTTGATGAGGAAGTAGAAGGTATGCAGAGTACCATTCTAGTTCTACAGCAACAGTTGAAAGAGACTCGGCAACAGTTGGTTCAATATCAGCAGCAGCAGTTACAAGCTTCAACTCCAGGTACCAGCCGGACTCCATCTTGTGAAACTACAGATCAGGGAGAAACCATGAGCAAAGATTGCAGTCGCCTGGCCAATGGACCAAGTAATGGCAGCTCTTCGCATCAGAGGACAGCTGGGCCTGGTTTTTATAGAGAAGGTAGTGGAACAGAGGATGATTTTCCACCCTCACCAAGCAATGGTAATAAGCTTTCCAACCACTCTGAAGATAGAACTGGCAGAGGATCTGGTAGTTATATAAATCAACTCAGTACTGGGTACGAAAGTGTAGACTCTCCCACTGGTAGTGAAAACTCTCTTACTCACCATTCAAATGATACAGACTCTAATCATGATCCACAAGAGGAGAAAACAGTCAGTGTGAAAGGTAACAGAACTTCGGGGTCTCGTCATGTTCAGAATGGTTTGGACTCTAATGTAAATGTGCAGGGTTCGGTTTTGTAACCTTTTTCTGCAAAAAAAAAAAAATTTTATAGTGTCACTTAATTGGGAGAAGAAACTGTCCAGAACTGTTCAAATTAGTGCATATATGTCACAATTCTGCCTTTGTGGGTTTTCTGCTTCAATACCTCTGCCACTTCTGAAATTTTAACAATTAATTACGTTGAATGTTGCTAAAAGGATGTTTGTGTAGGCTCAAGGTATATTTTGAGTTAATGTGAAGTTGAAAATGGAATTTTATTTCCAGGTATAACACAATGATGTCTGTACAAATCTGTGTATATCTAGAACTTGTGCTGTGTAAGGGCATTCTTTACTCATACTGTTTATAACACTCAAACTTTGTCATAATAGTTGTGGGTTAATGACTGCCAAGTTTGCCCAGTACAGTAGTTTTCTAATTAAAAAAAACTTGGTGAGGGAGTCCTATAGTAGTTTGTGTTCCACTTTTGCCACCATGCATCTGTGTGTTCTCTTTAGGTGACAGAATGTTTAAGAATTTTGTGTGCATAGTTACTCAGTTTTAAGAACTGTTGTATCCTGTTAATGCATATTGCTCTGTGACTCCAATATTATCTTACCTGTACTGACCAAACCTAAATAAAATTTTTAATAATGTAATTTATTTGGTGCTGCTGCATTTCTTTATTCAGCATTGGATTTTTCCTCATTGCCATCTTCTACAGAGTTCTTAATAAAATCTTTTTTAAAATATTTCATTAATATACTAAATGATCAGTTTGTCATTGCAAATTAGCATACTATCTAAGATATCCAAGAGTATTTGCATGTAGTATCAAATTGGGTCAAATGATGGATTTTGCACCAACATCTTCCTACATGATGAAAGTGGTGCAGCCTACTTTCTGGGCAGAAAGATGGAGTAAAAACTGAATAACAAATAATAGGTATTGAAAATATTCCATATCTGAAGTCCTTAGCAATACCTCTCTCTTCCTTTGGTAGGGCAGGAAGAACTTTCCTGCAAGTCCTTTTCCACAAAAAAACTAAATTTCTAAACCTCAAGTTTTTGTTTAAGCCTATATCATATTTGGACTGATTAATTAGAATACGACTGTCATAGTAAATTTTCTGTTCAGTTTAATGAAAATTTGTAGAGAAGAGATTGTCTCAAGATACTTCACATTTACCTATCAAACTGACTTACGCTTCAATGTGACGATAGTCTGTATACTGTAGTGTTGTCTTACACACAGAGGAATACGTGTCTTGAGGTTTGTTTTGACTTGGGTTTATAAGTGTAGCCTATTACAGACTTGTCATGAATGGTAAATTATGACCATTATAGTATGAAAAGCATTGTGGATCCTTAAAAGCCACTATAGAGAACCAGGTTGGTGTACAGTAGTGGTTAAGGCACCAGGCTAGAATCTGGGAGACCATGAGTTCTAGTCCCACCTTAGGCACAAAACCATTAGGCCCAGTCACCCATTCTCAACCCTAGGAAGAAAGCAATGGCAAGCCACTAATGAAACCTTGCCAAGAAAACTGCAGGGACTTGTCCAGGCAGTTGCCAGAAGTCAACACTGACTCAAAGGTGCCCCCCCTCAAACCCCTCCCACTACAGTTGGTAAATTAGGGGTGGAAGCTAAAATGTTGATGTATTTAATACAACTTTATGTCATTCTAATGTAAAATTGTACTTTAAAAGCATTAGTAATTAGTATTTTGGGGGTCTAAGTTGTCAACAACTAACTTTGTATAAATGATACATTTGCTTTTAATTTTGGTAGTACCTGCATAATTTAGTCCAGGCCAGGGTTTTTCTAATTGTCCTGTGGAACCCTAGGATTCCACAAGAACATGATGGGTTTCCATGAGAGACTAGGGGCAAAAAAGTTTACTTGAATGAAAGGGCATCCATAGCAATTTTTCTAAGGTACTGTGGGAAGGGAAGGGCATGTCAGTGACATTCAGAAGCACCATCCCCGAAGGGGTAATTGTGCTTATGATGATTCATCACTGTATTTGAGAGACAGGCAGCAGGGGTTCCAGTAAATTATTTTAATAGGCTCCTCTGAAAAAGTTTGAAAACCCCTGGTTTAGTGAATATTGATACACAAAACTGATCTCACACTCTGCTTCATAACATCCTGGAAGATCAGAGCAAGGCCTGTAGTAAGTCTGACGGCTTATTTTCTTTAATAATCATGTAAATATCTGTGACTTCAAGTCTCAATAGGACACACTGCATTCCTGTGGGCCCATCAGACACTTAGATGCTTACCAGGCTTTCTGACCTATTTTTTTTTAAAGTTCCTTTCAATTAAAAATATATGTAGAAAACAAGCATGTTGCAAAACACTAGCCTGAAGATGGGAACCCCCAAAAGCATTCTGAGAAAATTAAGTGGGTAGCTATAGCCAAGCAATTAGTTTGGAAGATGGTTGCCTGGCCTGGGAAAAAAAAAAGCTACGCTAGGCAATAACATCCTAAGAAGCTAAAGAGAGTGGTAGAAAGGAATTTTGGCACTTTGATATCTGGCAAATCCATTTAGTCACTTAGCCACTCCTATCATGACAGCTCATGTCATGCTCTCAAAATTGTAGATGTTTCCACCATTAGGGACACCTGGATTAGAGAAAGCTCACCAGAAAGACAAAAAGCAGGAACATTTTAGAGAGATGTCTGTGATCTAAAAACAGCATGCAGCCAAAGATTGCCTACATCTATAAATTTATTTATTTTTAAAAGTCTGTTTGCAGCAGCAAATTCCAAGTAATTGTGACATTTATGAAATATTATTTTGCTGTTGAATTTCCCATAATTTCCTTTTAATTGGTTGATCTTAAGTCAGAGTTTCTCCAACTGGGGTCATAAGCAAATTTTAGGGCAGTCACACTCCTGTCTAGACAGCCAGTTTTTGTCTTGTCCAGGCAGAACAGGAGCACAGTCTGGCTACAATTCAGTTGTGCATTTGCAAACCAGGCTTGTGCACTCAAAGCTGGATCACTGTCAGAATGTGTGCTGCCAAGGTCAACCTCAACATTTACTGTCTCCATGCCTTCATCTATTTGTCACCTGCCTGGCCACCAGCCACACTAGCTGCCCTGGCACATCAAATCTGGCCTTTCTTCTGCTTGCAGCCTACTGCCTTTATATACCCAGTGGTTTCCCTCTGCCCATCACAGCCAAAGATAGGCAGGCAGCAGGATGGGTGAAGTGAGGCTGGCATTGCTTAGGACTTCCTTGTGTTCCATGGCCATTAATGGGGTGTCAGAGAATGGCTGCTTCTGGGATGGAGTGCAGAGCTGAAAAGCAGCAACAGCATCTCAGCAAACCCTAGCAAATTTGACCAGGAGAGGAGGACCATCCCTGATGAGAAGGAAAGTGGAATGCTAACCCTGCCCAGGGAACAGAAGTAAGGCTGAACTCCTTGTGTGGCCTTTGCCAGTTGCATTCCACCACTGGCAACCACAGTCCTGTAGCAAAACTGCTGCATTGCCCACAGAGCTCTCCCATCAGGTTCTTCTTCACCTGTCTCCCATGAGCTGATGGAGAGCCACAGAGATGACCTTTCAAAATTCTGTTACTATGGTCTGTATCAATAGAGTATTGTTTCAGTTAAGCTAGTGGAGTCTGTTTCCTGATCTGGCCTACCTTGGAAGGCTGGCATCAATCTTGAAAGCCTGATTGTGTTTTCCTTTCCCTGCTGCTTATACCACAGCAAATTAGGGTGGAGCCAATCTGAGCTTTTTTCTCATACTTTCTCTGTTTCCCAGACTTACAGCATTCTTTTGTTTTTGTAACCATTTCTGCATATTTCCTCCAAGATCATCTCTGTGGCTCTCTACAGAACTGCACTTGGATGGGGGTCCCTGGTGAAGCAATGGCCTCCTTCCTGGTGCTAAATTACCATCCTGTACATCCCAAAGGAGCTGGTCCCTGTTTTTACTCCACACTAATCACTTTCTCCCCACCACAACTCTAAGAAATGGGGGAGTCCAGGCTGCACTGGGATTTGATGCCAGTCCTCACTGCTGCCATGTTGATAGACCTGAGCAGAGCTGGACCACCTGAAAGAGTCTAGAGACCCAGGCTCAGAAATAGCTGGTGCCTGGGCAGAACTGTCCTGCGCTGGGGAAGTTTCCATGTCATCTGTAGCAGTCCCCTGATGCATTTGTACAAAGTTTGCTATAGTGGTTCAGATGGAGGTCTGGATTTGATGCTCCCCTGGGGTTGCCAGCATGGGAGGAGCAGCTATGCTGGTGGGAAAAGTTATCTTACTGGCCTAGACTTCCCCAAAAGGCATTCTGGACTCCAAAAAGCCACCTCCAAAAATGGTGAGACTCTAACAGGGCTCTTGCTGTCCTGGCAATTAGCTTGACTTTTAACTTCAGACCATTTTAAATAGAACCAAAGTCTTCATTATTTATTATTTAATAACAAAATCCTGTTGATTTAGAAAACAGCATTTCCAACAAAATCCAAGGAAGTAAAATCAAAAAGAGATACAGGATGCCTTCACATAGCACATTTTCTGAGAGGTAACGTAACCATGTTTACTCAACCCAATTTTATAGATTTACATTATATCTGGAACCATGAATTAACGATACTTGCTGGGTTTGCTCAATTCACTATGCTACAATGCAACTGGATAGTTTTGGGTGACATGGGCTGTGTAAATCCAGATAACTAAGTTAATTCAGTAACCATAGTTCAATTAGCCAGAGTGAGAAAAAAAGAATTGTGTTACTGGTCCCCTTCTCTAGCTTTTTGAATTAAGCAGGTGCCACAGCACTTGATTATGTGCCATCAAGTTGACTCATAGTGACCACATAGTCACAGCATTTATCAGTTTTTAGAAAAAAAAATATTACACACACATACACACGCACAGATGCCTGTACATGTCTGCCTGGATCATGGATCCATGAGAATGAAAATTTCTGCCTGATTTGGGGGATTTTAGAGAACTGTGACATTTCTTTTTATATTTGCCATATGAATCAGCAGTATGAATGCTGATATGAAAGCTGAATATGAATTCATATGCCATATTAATGCTGCAGTAAAGTTTAGAAAATAAGGCTGTTAATTTCCACTGTTGTAGGAATATTACACGTTTCTGCTATTACCTCTGTGGTGTGGGAGTGAACTGTATTGTAATTACATCTGTGCGGCAAAGGTAACATGAAACAACTTCTAATGTCGTTTGAAATGGTTATGCTAAACACTGGGTATTTTTGCGAAACACTCGTGTAGTTATTTAGTTGTCGTGATGGAAGCAGCCAGTTATTCCACCGGTCTTCAGGTAGCTTCAGCCCTCGAAGGCCAGATCAGAAACGATTCGGTTGTAACAGGCAGGATGGGGAGGGAGAGAAGAGTTTACTTTCTCCAGCGTGAGCTGTGTTGGCACAACAGGCTATACCCGGTTGACCGAAAAGGCCCATTAGCTGGGTTCACAGCATGCTGCGCCACAAGCAAGCAAACCCATTTTGCCCTGACGACGGATAGCAGGTGCGGGCTGCAAAAAGCGGACGACCTGCTGGACGGCCGCAAAGAGACCCATAAATCGTCGGTGTCACCTCACGGTCGTCCAGAACTATATCCCTACTTTAGTATGTTGTCTGAACTCAGCCGATGCAACTGCGACA